TGCATGTGGATAAAACCAGTTCCGTGGCATCTAAGAATGTGGGGAAATGGGGGGGGGTGGGTAGAAGTGGGGGGCTTCTCTGTCAGGCATAGCCCAGTCCTTCTGGGGAGGCCTGAGAGCAAAACTAAAACACCATTCTATAGCCCGGCACTCAAACTTCAAAGCACCATGGGATGGGAGGCAGTGAAGCAGGGCCCAAAACATACAATAATTTAATACAATGAAGGCTTAAATTTCAAAGTTGATTTTTCGGTAACATTTATAAAAGTTAACAGGGCATATTTAATTTAGGAATTGGCTCACGTCCTTCTCCTTACAGCTGAAACCTCATAAATGAAATATACTGGATCATTGCCCAGTGCGGAAATAAAAGTTATGAATAATGCTTCTATCTCAATCATTGTCATGGCTTTAATATTCCTAATTACTTTAAAAAGCTAGATATTCAATATTGGAAAACTTTTTTTTTCTTTTTATCTCCACTTGTGAGATTAGTGCAATTTAATAAGAGTCACTCTGTCGTCTTTATGCTGGGTAGACTGACGTTTCATGCTTTTACTCTTTATGATTCTATAGGATGGAGGTTTATGACCAAGCATGCAGCCACTCTGTTTCCCCATATTGGTTCGCCGAACATCTCATAGTTATCTGCAATAGCTAAGGTGTCTACCCACTAGACAAATCAGCATCACCTCACTTCCTTTATGGAGCAGAAAGAAATTAGTCCAGGCCTTAAAGAAAGCAGGCTATGGAGTTATAAGTCTGTAAAAGAATGAAAAGTCCCCTACCCCCACTGCAGTACTAGATTTGTCACCTTCACGACTATCAAAGTCATAAATCCCGTGGCAGCCACAAAGGGCAGGGCGGGGGCAGGCAGGAGGATGATGGATCTTTATAACCCTCCCTGCCACTTCCAGGAATTTATCCTAAGAAGAATTAAAACAAGTGGGCAAAGATATATGCACGAGAAGAGTCACTGCAATATTTTTACATAGGGCCACAGTGCCTTATCCCTGTGTCCACAACCCAAACATTTCTAAACTGACTAAATGAAAAAAAATTTTTTTTAAAGTTCAGCTCCGAAATTCATTTAGAGGCAAAGTCTTCATACGACTGTGGTTATATATTTTCTATATATTACCAGATGTGATCAGTCACATTTCACTTCAGAAATATTACGTTTCAGTCCAGGGTTCTGCCCAGACCCCACTGGGATATATGTCATATATGATATAGTCATCACATGCCTTTCCAGACGCTGAAAAACACTCTAAAATGTTGAAACCAACAGGCCCCAAGGATCTTGGATAAAGGATGGTGGGCCTCAAATACTGAAAAACAACCTAAATGCCCATCCATGAGAATGGTTAATTACTTTTGCTCACCCATAGGATGAAATTCTACAAGGTCATTAAAAACTTAAAGGAAGATTTGTGCTTATGGACAAGGAAATGAGTGTATGACATAAAGCTGAATTTTAAAAGCAAGGTACAGACAAGCACATAGATTTGATCCAAACAATACAAGTTTTACCCAGACCTAGCTCTAAGTGCAAACGCATCGAGAAGGAGCAAGGAGAGGAAGCCCCCACATGCCAGAAGTGGTTATCCCTGGGTGTGTGGGCTTAACTTTTTGTCTATACTTGTGGTGCAGCTTGAATTTTCTTTTTAACATGAGCAAATATAATTTTTGAATCAGAAAACAACAAAGAACGATGCTTTCAATTAAACAAAAATCAAAGGTTCCCTGACAGGGTGTCACAGGTCTAGAGATGTCTATGGATAGGTCCCCTTCAGAAACCTCCAGAGATACCAACTGCACTGACTGGGACACCCATCCCCATGGGCGTGGGCCCCACAAAGACCTTGAGGCACTGCACAGCACACCCAGTCAGACAGATGTCCAATGGCGCAACAGCTAACGGCCTCCAACTGCTTGGAGCAAACCTAGGCACAATCTGTGTCCCTTGGCCAATTCTTCTATCGCCAAAACAACATCGCTGGACCACATCTCTCAAGCGAGCCTTCCTTCCCCTGTGAGCAACTACGTTTTCTTATCAATTTCAACCTTAGGCTATATTAACAGAGGTTGAGCATCCAGAAGGAAGGACAGCATAATAATTAAGTGTTCGGATTTAGGACTTAGGTCTTTGCTGACTGACCATCCCAGTTTCACTATTTACTAGCTGTGTATCTATTGAAAGTTGTTGAACCTCTCAGTGCTTCAACTTTCTCACCTGTAAAAGGGGGCTAATAATAATCCCTATGTCATAGAGTTGTAGTGGAGATTAAATGAGAAGACAAGTAAAGTGCCTACTGTACAGTAAAATTCAATCAATAGTACCTATCTCTATTATTATTTTTCCATACACACCTGCAGTTGAGTGGTCAGCTCTGGGAACGACAGTTTAAGAAGAATAAAGGCCATAACCAATGCAGAGGAACCAGATGGAGAAGGCAGTTCAGACCATGTCAGGTGAAGAACCAAGGAGCTTGGAGAACAGAAACCTGGAGGATGGATGTGATCACTGTCTTCTAATACGTGCAGGGCTGATCCATGGAAGGGGACTCTAGTTTCTTCTCTGTGGCCTCAATGGCTATTATCAACTGCTTTAAGATGACCATCTTCCTGCACAGTCTGTGTATTGCCCACTGAGCTCCTCGGGAGAAATTCCAGACCTGGAAATGAGGGTTGAGGCAGTCCTTCCCCCTGCCCTGGCCTTTACCACAGTTGAGAACCAACTGGTAGAAGCCAGAGATAGACTTCCACTCGAGAGGAGGGGCAACTTTCCGATAGTCAGAATATGCTGCCACATGAGGTAGTGAGCTCCTTGTTAATGGGGGGGAATCAAGCAGAGGTTGGAACACTCATGGCAGGGCATCGACACACTCAATGCCCTGGATGGTTCTGAGAGTGAAACTCTATGAACTCCCTTCATTCAAGGCAGCTATCCCTCAACACAGGGATGTAACCCCACTTTTAGGACTTCCTGTGGGTTTAGTAGTACATGCCTTTGAGTAAACCCAGGGGTGGTGGCTTTTCAACCCATGAAGGTGGATTTACTGAGGAAACAGCTGTGGGTTGCTCAGCACCAAGTCTGATGACTGAATTGGGGGTGAGGAAATTAGGCAGCCCAGTTTTTGTACTATAAAGTAACAAGATTATTTCCCTATGTGCTTGGTAATGTCACTCTAGAAGCAAGGTTTATTCTAAACCGCCTAGTCCTGTTCGAGTGCCACCTTCATTCTATTTCCTTCCCCAGACTGGAGACCCTGAGAGACATAGACCATGTCTGAAAGACCCTCCAGGTTCCACCCCGCTGCCTAGCACAGCCCAGCATATGGTGAGAGCCAAACACACAGGCCCTGATTGGTGATTTATATGCACTCAGGGCCCCCAGGACTCAGGCTATATTTCAACCTCCAACAGGCTGCCCCTGACATTATAATCCCGCAGCAGCAAGCAGACCTGTCCCAGCAGAGCTTCACCTAATCCAAGTTAGATAGTTCTTCATCAGCAATTCACTGTGAGCAAAATTATACAAAGCAAAACATGGACAAGGAAGAAAAGCTCTCCAACATGTCAGCCACCATGCTTCCTGTAGTTCACAGGAAGACTGCTGGCGTACATTCCTTTAACCCTCGTGTTCCCTCAGGTCTACTCTTCATTGTCTGGAGGAGTCCCCGGCCCTGTGTCTCCACGAGGCCTACCTCAAAGCAGTGAAACAGGTGGAAGGAGGAGACCACCGCAGTCACCAACACACTGAAGAGAGTCCCTTGATACCCAGACGGACCCTGGGCTCCCTGATCCAAGATAACCACCCAGGCGCAAAACACAACCACATCCAACCGCCTCGCTTTGGTCGGTATGATCTGCTGCACTGGGTGGGCAGGGAGGCTCCAGGTAAGGCTTTTGGGAAAAAGGGACCATAACTAGATGTTTCCACCCCAGCAGAGAGAGCGAAAAAAGGGTAAGAGCACCACACTGGGCTGCCATAGACCCAACAGTCCCTCCTTTCCAAGTTTTCGTGACCATTATGGTCACTGTCGGACGGTGAAAACATAGGTGGATCAGTAATGGGGGTTAGAGCCCTAACAGGTCGGCTTAGGTATGGTCTCTACACAAGTCACAATAAAAAAGACGCTCTATCCCAGCTCAAAACAGGAAGAAAGCGGGCTTTGACACTAATCAAGGCCTCTCTGAAAATCAAATAGGACTACGGTGTTAACCAACTGCTGATCGCACGATGTGCCAACAGAAAGGTGGCCATCTATAGGTATTTAGGGGAAATGAGCCAGAGCGGGTGGGCTTCCCTTCATCTGGGCTCTCGGCAGAGAACTCCATGAGCATTTGCCAGGTGTACCGCATCTTCTCGGTGGCCAGCCCCACAGTAGAGAGGGTGCCCTGTGCCAGCGTGCGTCACTTGGTCAGTCCCAAGAGCATCTACCTCATTCTGTACTTACCAGGAAGGCTTGCCCAGAGAGATGTAGGAACACAGTGACTTGTCCCTGCAAGTGTCCCGTTCTCCTACCTTTAGGGACACAGAGGAATCCCAGTGTCCATCAGTCTCATGCATCAGTCCCCTGGGCCTCTGTGAACACCCACAAGATTGAGCCTTTGGACCAGCAAAGCCGAGAACCAGGCCTTGATCACAGTGACCTCCTGGGTCTGTACCCTTCGGTAGCATCTCAATTTCACTTCAGCCCTCAAAGACCATATCTAGAGGTGCTTCGTCAAGAGTCAGAGCTGTACATAGGATCCAGCAATTCCCCAAACACCCAACACACAATGCCCCTGCAGACACGCATAAACCATTACCCCATGCCCCTCAAGCCCTCCACCCCAAGTACCATCATGTGCCAAACTGTAGGTATGCCTCTTCCCTGATACCCATGCTTGCCTAGGCAGCCCAAACCCTAAGACAGAGAATCCAGTACCTGACATAGGCCCTCCCAAGCCAGAGCCGGGAGCTGTCCAACCCCACAGGACCCCATACTCACCGCTGGAGCAGTCGGGTCCTCCCCAGCCGGGCTCACAGTGGCAGGTGTCCGGGGAAACGCAGCGGCCGTGCATGCACTCCTCTGTACACAGGGCTGCGGAGGCCCAGGGAGAGGGAGGAAGAACAGGAACAGACAGTGAAAACCAACCATCTGGTCAAGGAACATAAACCACTTTTTAACTACTCCCTGAGGCCCACGGATGCTCAGAACGCATCACTGGCTCTGGAGAAAAGCAAGCTACTCCAGGCCTCAGTTATTTAATTAACTCCAACATGCATTTAACAAGCGTGCGCTTCATCTCAGCCCCATTTCTTAAAATGAAACCCAAGCCTGAAAAATGGCAGCCTTGGTGGCTTTTCAAGAATATTTTCTCCAAGGCTTAACACTTGGAGACCCTCCACAAAGCCCAACACCTAAATCTACATGCTTGCCCTTTTCCCATCCACTCAGAAAATAACCTGTCATGGCCGTCATTTACTTTTCCCAGTTCTTTCCGCAAAGGCCCTGAAATTTATCAGGTTGCCTGAAAAGAAGAGGTTTCTCTCCCATTTCCCCAACCTTTCTGCTCTGCTCCCCAAATGTCCCTATTTTCAGGCTCTCAAATGTCAGCAAATCTGAAAAGTACACAAATGCTGGGGAAAAGGCAACAGCTAATTATAAGAAAGTAATTAAGAGAGACATCCATGATGATGATAATTGTAATTAGAAAGTGCCTGGCAATTTCTTATCGTGCAGTCAAATGCTACAGCCTCCCGAGTCGGGAGGCAACAGTGGCGAAGTTCCCATCAACTGCTCCAGCTCTGAGAGGGCTTATTGGCAGTAGTTTGAGGAAGAGAGATTATGGCTCTCTTCCTTTGACACCCACATTTTCTCAAGGTCATCATTGCTTCTGAGAGATCTGCCCCACCATCTAATCCATCACTGAAGGATTACAGAAAACCCCCTCTGCCGCCCCTGCCAATTTTGTAAGCTTGGGAAATCAGCAGCTACCATCAGCCCTGTCAGTTTCTTAGGAGGGAGCTGGATGAAGTGCTTTCTTCTGACAAGCTGCTAGAACCCTTCTCTCTGGCCGGCACTGGCCTGGGACAGCAGGTGTCCCCGATGGTGAGGGCTGCCGCTGACCTCCAAACACCCACCCAGCTTCCATATCCACTGCCTGGCCTGAACGCCCACTGAGGGGGCGCTGTCAGGTTAGAGGACAAAGTCCACTTTACAGTTGGTGTGGGGTCCTCGGGCCCATCCCAAACACAGGTGCTGACCTTGAAGCTGTTGGCTTAGCTTTGGCCAGGTCACCAGGCAAGGCAAACCCAGAAGAGTCATGTCAGATGCCCCACTGGTGGGTGGTCTGCAGTCAGCCAGCATGTCCTCTGCGAGCCTGGGATGTGGCGTGGCTGGGGAGAGCCCTGGCACCTGAGTCCTGGCACCTCCTCATTTGTACAGGTAGCTTCTGGGGAGAGTTCTGGCTTGTGCTGAAGACTTCTACAGCCCCTCACTTGGAGCTCCAGGGAGCAGCCAGGACCTACCAGCTGACCCACTGGACAAGAACCTCAGTAATCAGCTCTACTGAGAACCACCGGGAGCCGCTCACCTGGCTGCTAGCATGCCCTAGCCAGTCACCCCTGCTGCCTTGGCTCCCCTGCTCACACTGGACTTTCCACACAAGCTTAAATGGGCCAATGTTCCCAGTGTACACTGGACAACAGGTGTCCATCCCATCCCCAGGCTGGGCCCGGCTCCTAGCCCTGGCCTCGGCGGCTCCGTCTTCCCTCCCTCTCACCCCCATAGGCTGAGGTCCCAGTATGCTCCGCAGCTGCATCTGCTTTCAGCCCATCTGCTTTCCAGCAGACCCTTCCCACCAGCCTGTCAGATCAGAGAGCAGCCCCTTAATCTCTGGCGGTTCTGCCCGTGCTGGAGAGGGCAGGCCGTGACCCGTGAACCTGCTGAGTGTCAGGGCTGGAAGAGGCCTCCGAGAAAATCATGTCTGACCCCTCCATTTTATACATAAACAAACTGAGGCCCAAGCGCCATTGACCTCGGGGACCATGTGTGGCCTCTTGGCCAGGAAGGAAGGAGCTCAGGGATGTGGCTCCTACAGACAGAGGCCTCTGAAGGGAGAGGGAAGTGAGCGGTGCCCAAGACCATGGGGCCTTCACACGTCGCCCAGGTGAGATGTCCTCTCCTGCCCAGATGGTTCAGTCCAGAGGAAACAGCGTAGGGGGGCTGTGGTTGACCCCCAGGAGGGTGAGAGCTGGAGAGAGAGGCCAGAGGGGCTGCTTCAACACACTGAGCACCCTACAGGGTGGGGCTGGGCAGGGGGCTCAGAGCAGCTCCCGGGAGGAGTGGGAGAAGACGAAGACCACCAGCACCCTGCCAACTCCTGCCTCTTTCTGGCCCTTCTGACCTTAGAGACCTGACCATTGGCCTAGTGCTCTGGGTAGGCTCCACCCTGCCTTTTCCTTTGGCCCCGCCCCAAAGAACCAGGGAACCCAGCACAGCCCTGTAACCATCACAGTGGCTTCCGGTGACCTTACACACAGAGGACAGCCATCCCACAAACCCTGGGCCTGACTCCAGGGATGTGGTTGCTGTCCCTGTGGTCCCTCAGACCCCATTATCCCCCTCCCCTCGTCATCACCCTGGTATTATGCCTGGGCTATTTGCTTGTCAAAACCTCAATCCATTCATGATATTTCATAGGTGCTGTTTAGACAATGAAATATTGATAGCAAATACCCAAGGCTCATATGGTCATATTTGGCAACTGGGCCACTGTGTGTTTGTGTACCTGGTAGGGAGGGGAGGAGAAGGGGGTGCTGCAGGGGAGTCTCCTGAGGAGGGATGGAGGTGAGACCCATGACCCTCCTGGGGCTGGGGTGGCCAATTCCTACTCCAGGACCCCGGTGTAGCCCAGCAGTGGGCAACCCCTCGGAAGAGGACCGGGGTTTATACAGCAACCACGCCTAGAATGTGCAGGTCCCCTAAGTTTTTTCTGAGCCCAGCCCTGCCCCCCTAGGAGGGGCTGAGTTAGGGTGCTGCCACTCTGGTCTCCCTCTTCTCTGGCTCCTATAACTCCAAACGGGGCATTTTGTTGCATCCCTCTTTCCAGTGCAGCCCACCCATCTGCTGTCACGGACAGGGAGTCCGAGGCTGGCGCCCACAGGCTGTGTGACAGGGGGGCCAGGCCCTCTCCTAGCCCCACCGAGAAATCTGAACCACTGCTCTCTCAGCTTCCCCCAACCTACTGTCCTGCCTCAGCCCTGCTTCTAACATCCCAGGTGCCAGAGGCATTTTTAGCGAGAAACAGCTCAGCACCATGGGTAAGAGCAGACTGCACCCAGAGAGCCAGTCTAGACTCGGCATGCTTAGTAGCTCTAGACCTTGGGCAAGTTACTGCCATCTCTGCGTCTGTCCCCATTTGTTCAATGGGGAAGGTGACAGGGTGGGCCTTGGGCTGTGTGTGAGGACAAAGGACCCAGAGTAGTGCCTCGGGTTTGGTAAGTGCTGTATGAGTCTTGCTGTTATTATTACAATAGTATGGTGTCCACAGACACCGGGTAGAGTCCTTGGGATGCTGGCGCCTCTTTTGTCTTTCACATGCAGGCCATCTTCCTCACTCTCTCCTTTCACAGAGGTCCCCGACACATGGAGTGGGCTGTAGGGACCTGCTGACAGACCCTTGGTGGGGACAGTGTACTAGAGGGCAGCCCCACCTCCACCCCTGGTGGAAAGGCCAGGGTGGTAGATAATGTGATGACCTAAGTTTAAATTCCATAGCTGCCAGTTACAATTATAATGATACGGCAATAAGCAAGTATTTAACCTTCCATGCCTCAGTTTCTTCACTGTAGAATATTACAGTCATGCATATTACAGTCATGCACTGCATAATGACATTTCGGTCAACAAGAGATTGTATATACGACAATGGTCCCATAAGATTATATAGTGAAGGGTTTAGCAGAAGCTCTTGCCAATTTCAACAAGCTCCTTAAAAGGTCTGAAAACATGGTCCCCAACACCAAAAAATTTTCATTAATAGAGAGAAAGTTTCATGGTACATTATCTGCTTACAAGCAAATCTTTTTTTTTTTTTTAAAAAAAGAAACAAACCAAGCAAACCAGCACAGACTATTTCTGAAAAGAGTGACGCCTCCTCAGAAGAGCATGAGGCAGGTCCTTCAGGAGGTATTCCGGAAGAATAGATGACAGCTCCACGCGTGTCATTGCCCTCCACGACCTTCCAGGGGGACAAGATGTGGAGATGGGAAGTCAGCGATGCTAATAATCCTGACAGTCTAGGCCTGGGCTAATTACCTGTTTGTGTCTTAGTTTTTAACAAAGAAGTGTAAAAAGTAAAAATAAAAAATTTTTCATTTCATAAAGTAGGTAAAAGCTTATAAAATAAGGATATAAAGAAAACATTTATACAGCTGTACAAAGTGCTTGTGTTTTAAGCTAAATCTTATTAAAAGAGTTGAAAAGTTAAATTATTGGGTTGTCGGAAAAGTCATGACGCATGTTTGCAACAGATGGCACTAATTCATTTTTGGAAGTACTACAGTCATTCACATCTATGTCATTGCTATGTCATTTGACAGCTGACAGTTCTAGTGTCATTCTAAAGAAAAACTGAGAGATTTGGTGGAGTTTTGGAGATTTTACAACAAGTTGAAGATGGAAGACCAAACTGTGCATTTTTGCCATATTTTACTGTTTTACTTCCATAAAGGGAAAAACACGCGTCAAGCTTGTGAAAAGTTGCATAAAGTTTACGGTGACAATGTTCTACAAGAACGTCAGTGCCAACGATGGTTCATGAAATTCCGTGCTGGTGATTTCGATCTCAACGACACTCCTCGCTCAGGGAGGCCCACCGAGGTTGATGACGACAAAATAAAGGCATTGATCAAGTCAAACCCACATTACATGACACAAGAGATTGCAGGGACACTGAACATCCATCATTCAAGTGTTCGCGACCACCTGAAGAAGCTGGGATATGTAAGCAAGCTCAATATTTGGGTTCCGCATGAACTCAGAGAAGTTCACTTGACAGCATGTATAAACATCTGTAATATGCTCATTAAAAGTGA